AGGATGAAGGGGAATAAACTCACAGTGATGAGCGTCGGCCGGGATTCGCAAGAGGAGAGATTTTCGTCGCAGCTATCAGGCCGGATTCGCTCCCGTCGCACGAGCAAGATAGAAGAGAGGAATTAGGGCTTTGGGTCACTTAAAGTTTCGGTGGGGCTTTGCCAGCGGTTTTAACCGGTGCAAATTGCACCGGTTTTAACCGATGCAAGTGGATTCATATTTCTGCTTCAGAATGTGGTTTTCGCAGCGGTTTTAAAAACCGCTGCAAATAAACGCTGCGATAGGACTTGTTTTTTGGTAGTGAATTCAAGTATATCAATATACATCTCAAATCAAAGCAAGTGTTCCATATTTGTCTTATGTATGCTGTTTAGTATTATTACATATATATCATGATCTATATAATGTGTAAATATTATGTATCATGGATATTATATGATATTGTATCAGTTTTATCAATCTTATCTTATGCATGTACCATTAGTCATATCATATACCTTGTCATGTCATATCTTTTCTGTTATGCAATTATCATGTCATGCAATATTTCATTAATGCATGTGAAATTCTACCATATATGCATGTCATACTTTAAGCAAGGTAGGACATCTGACTCTTGTAATAATTTTTCTATATTGTCAAAGCTTATAGGTCAATCTTATAGGAATTAGTCTCAATCATATCAATCATGTAAACAAGAATTAGTCATATCATTCTCTATCAAAAATCAATGGCTTTCACATAAGAAATCATCAATTTTTCCCTGACGGTATATCAATAAATTTTCCTTTGCCTCCCTTTTCATATCATTTAGTATTACACAATAAATTTTATGTAAAGAAAAACTCATCAGTCCACCCTATGATACATGATAACATGTTTCCAATTAATCTGAATCAATCAATTATTTTTGGCATGCCTTTCTTGCTTTCAAACACAGTCAACTCATATTCACTATATAATAGAAATTATAATGCAATTTAGTACAATTTTCATAGCATGTAAATCAATCTAATGCACCCATCAGTCTGTATGTGTTATGTCAAATGCATGTTATGCTAAATAAATAGTAATTATAAACATGTGTTGTTTTTATATTCAGATTTAATATGTTGACTAATGATCTTTTATACTTATTATTACTCTATTCAATTCAAGTAAAAATGGCACATATGCAAATCCAACTAGTGAAATTTTATTATGAATCTGTCAAAATATTCAAAATGCTAATATCTACCAGATATCAAAAGTTACACTATAAAAACTTGCTAATTAAATCAGGATATAAATAATTTCAAAAAGATTTGGGAGAGGAAAAATCTTAGAAATCAAAATAATTTACAGCAAACATAAGATAAAGGTTATCAAACATGATTAAAACTACTTTCATAATTGGAGTGATCGATGAGAGATACATTCTGAATCCCTACTTTATCACCCCTCTCTCCTTTCTTCCCCTTCTTCTCCTTCTCTTCACCTGGGCATGTATGCAAATGGGGAGGGATGGTGAGGTTCGAATGAATGGATTTGGATATTGTAAATATAAAAATATTTTGATTGTGTTGGTGTTGTAGTGCTTATGAGATCAGTGTCATAATGCTCCTCTTAATCACTTGTCATGTCATTTCTAATATTAGTAAATTAGCATATGGTAGTAGGTTTTGGCCAATATTTGTAAGCAGATATTTAGTTTTGTTGGTTATCAAAGATCAACAAAGGGTGATGGTAAGTAGTGGGAGCTGAAGATAAAAAAATGTCATTTCTAATATTAGTAAATTAGCATATGGTAGTAGGTTTTGGCCAATATTTGTAAGCAGATATTTAGTTTTGTTGGTTATCAAAGATCAACAAAGGGTGATGGTAAGTAGTGGGAGCTGAAGATAAGTAGATATAAGGAGTTAAAGATGAGACATTAGTCAATGAGCATTTGATGTCAATGAAGGACAAAATTTGATATTTATAGGCAATAGAATCGATCATTCTTCTTATAAAAAAACTTCTGCCCTATCAACTAAATGCCAAAAGTTAAAAATTGGTGGGCATTGGACTTGTATTGTCGGTGGATGTCAAATATAAGCAAACTTTGAGCACTGAAAAAGCATCAAACATTGGGAGGTTATCCATTCAATAGTTCCCCTTTTGAATTGAACAAAAACCTCTCCTCTTGCTTGAAACAACTCAACTCCTTGTGAACCCTAACCATCAACTTTTCATTGACAATGGAGTATTACAAGACAACATCTCATTTCAATGAATTCATCATTAAGACATTAGTTGGTTCATTAGGGTTTTGTTACTTTTATAGAGGTTCCCAAAAGGATCAGATTTTATTTACCTCCATTACCATCATGCTTACAACTCCAAATGCCAGATTGATGTTGTTATAAGGATTATATTGATTTGAAAATATTTTTAAATCTAGATTAGCCTTGATTTGGAAGGCATTGAGGGCTCACTATGTAATTGATTAGGGAGTTGATTATTTTTCTAATTAAGTTAATTTGATTGGAGATTTGATTGATACATTAATTAGGAGATCTAATTATTACATAATTTGGGAGATTTAATTAGTATAATTTAGAGATCTGATTAGCATGATTAGATTATGCTATATTATAATATTAATTAAAGTTTCCTTTACAACATTTTTTTAGTATTTAAATAGGACTTGAGGGCTATTGTATTATATGAATGAGAGGAAGAGAGCCAAATTATAATCCCTATATTCTCCAATATAATGAAGTCATCATCTGCTCCTCATGGACGTAGGCATCTTCACCGAACCATGTAAATCACCATATTTTTGTGTGTTTTTTGTGTGATTTCTATTTTGTGTTATTTCTGCTAGGTTTGCACAATGATTGGTATTTGAGTCAAATTCCAAATTTTGAAATTTCTGGAGGTAATTTGAAGAATGGAAGATTAATTTGTTGGTGTGGTTCATCTAGGCAAAAGGAAGAGAGCTAGATTGATGTAATTATGGCTACATGAGATAGCTGTAATTTTTAAGAGGCTATGAGATCTAGTGGAGATATGGATACATCCACCTCGACAGTGGAGAAGACGCCAATCCATCAGGTGATTACACATCTCATCAAATTTTATGTCAAGATATATTTGGGTGTACACCATGAGGAACAAAAGTGAGGTACTGTAGATTTTTAGAACATGAAAGAAATAGATTGAGACTCAGATTAACAAAAGGATCTGATGTATCTGCTCAAATAATGAGGATGAATACACTTCGAATGTATTCTTTTCTTGTAGGAGTGTTAGAGAGTCACTTCACTGTTAAAGAAACACTGCAGTTGAACTGGGTGATAGAGAGGATGAGCTAGACTTTGGTGGAGAAAATTTGGTGTATGTTATCAAATGCTGGGTTGGATAGAGTCTATTGTGCTGATGCGATAGATTATGTATTTCACTTAGTGAACCGTCTGCCTTCTGCAACAATTAAAAAAAAAAAACACAAAGGAGATGTGGTTGGAGCATCCTGTTGAGATTATGAGCACTTGAGAGTGTTTGGATGTCCAACTTACTATAATGTTCAGAATAATAATCTTGAATCGCGTACAAAGAAGGCGATTTTTATTAGCTTTAGGTGTGGAGTCTAGAGTTTCAAACTCTATAATCCGATAGAGAAATATTGTCATCATCAGGGATGTTACATTTAATGAGTTGAGCATATTAAAGCATCAGAACTCTTAATAGATAGAGAGTTCTAATGGGACCACATATGCACTATATAAGTTGGAGTTTGATGTAACTCCTTTTGTTCCACAGAGGCAGATCATTTTTTCTCTAATATCTGATCCAACTACAAATCAGGAGGTACAAGATGATGTTGAGGATGGGATTCTTGCTCAGGAATCTATTACGAGGAACATGTCCAAATGCCAAAATGTCCCAAAACTTGCTTGGTTGAGGTATCATATTGCATCTACACTTTTAGCCATAGAGGCTGAAATTCTCAATCATTATAAGGAAGCAGTGGACAGTCCTAATGGTGATCTTCTAAAGAAAGCTATGGATGAAAAGATGAAATCACTTCAGAAGAATGCTACTTAGAGGTTGGTGAAGCTTCCTACATGAAGAAAAGTCATTGGATGCAAATGGGTGTATGCAAAGAATAAAAGATTTCATGAAACTGATATGCAGTACAAGGCTAAGTAGGTGGCAAAAAGCTTTCACAACAGAAAGATATTGTTTATGATGATGTGTTATCCCCAATGATTAAGCATTCCTCGACCCATGATCACTATGCACTTGTAGCACAATACAGCCTGATTTTAAAGCAACTCGATGTGAAGACTGTGTTCTTACATGGAGAATTGTAGGAGAAGTTCCACACATTACAATTGTCTCGATATGAAGCTTCAAAAAACTTGGTTTGCATATTAGATAAATCGTTAGTTGGAGTAGCGAGTAGGTTCACATACTGTTGAAATTTGGTGAACATTAGAGCTCACAACTAATTGTCTAATTATTTTAAAGAACCACATTCAACTTGATCCCTAGGAAGAGGGGTACATAAACAATCATCTGAATGCAATCGTTATGATATTGAAATTTAGGCCTCATTTGCAACAACTTTCTTATTGCTTCTTAAAACAATTTTTTAGTATAAAAATTTAAAATTTTGTACTAAAAAGCTATTTTAAGAAGCAATAAGAAAGCAGTCCTGAGCGAAATCTTAGTTTATCATCTTTTTACTTTCTAAAGTAAAAAATGAGGCAGAGATTATTGATTTGAAAATCTTTGGCCAAAGATGTACCTCTCCACCATGAGATGATGCACTGAAAATATTCAGATCAAGATGTGACTCGAAAAAAAAAAAATTATGTACCGAAGAATAAATTTAATATACGAGAGATTCTCTGAGGACCTCAAAACAAGAAATTAATCAGCTGGAACCCACATATTCTCTCAAATACATGGAGATGTTGTCCTATTCCCTCATTGTCCGCCATAGTACACACATCCATCATGAAATATATATAAAAAAAAAAAATCAGAGTCAGAGCCAGTACATTACCAAAGCCACGCAAATGTCTTATAAGATAACCTTTGCTCAATCATACAGAGTCACATGACATCCAAAGACTCTTACAGGCTTTTTCATACCAACTCGAATGACGAAATGAATTACTCATTCAAACCAAATTTATGATACAAAGTAGCTTAATTCCCTTAACGACTCATTATTTAAAACTCTCGTCCTCTTCATATATTTCAAGGCTTATCAAGCAAATCACCGCTAATAGCTATTCTTTCAGAGCCACGAGATCCCAATTTTCCTATAGTTGTCAAAGCAGTAGTAGGCAAGCCTTTGAAGCTGCTGCTTCCTTCTGTAAAGTTTCGAGAGCGCCTGGCTTTTCCTGGATTTGAGCTGCTCTTGGCGGCGACCAGTCGAACAATGTTGCTCCGGCAAAAAGGGCAGACTGGTGCAGATTGGGAAGAGGTTGTAGGGTTGGGCCTGTTATGGCAACACAGAGCTAAAGTGCAGTGAGCGCACATTTGGTGCCCACACTCCTGAACTTCAATGGTGCAGGCTTGATCAAAGCATATGCAGCAAAGCTCATACTCATTGACCTGAAATATATTAAATCTTCAAGACTTGATCAAGTCATGACCAGTTTTTCATAAAGATTTTTACTTTTTTTCCATTTGAAGAAGTTCAATCAACAATATCCAAACGAAATCTTCGTTTCAGCAGTGGTATTAGAAACTGGCATATAAAGCAACTGTGAAGCGCCAGTGTGAGCTTGTTAGATGGATGAAAGATGGCCATATGTTTATATATAGAGGTGGAAGCAGAGGGGAGTTGGGCTGGCTCTGACCCCTCTCTAAATTTGATACAAAATTATATAGTTATGTATACTTTGAATATTTTCTCTTTAAATTTGATGGTAATCATGTTTGTTAAAAAAGCTGTCTTTATAAAATTTAAGATAAACCTATTTATCTCCTCCCACTTAAAACACTAATTCCGCCATTTTCTAAATATATGTGTACAGTGTAGTAGCTTCATTTGGTTTAAGAGAATTGAAGATGAAAATGAGATGTTGACATTTGTTTTAACCCACTTGTTTATTTGATTGAGGAAAACATGGTAAATTAATATTTTCTTTAATGTTATTCATACTTTCCCTTTGTTTAATATAATTTAAAATTAATTATAAGGTAAACAATATTTTCTTTCTGCATAATTTCTCCAAACCAAACACAACATATGATATGCCCTCAGTAGAGAGAGAAATTATTCTGTGCGGACACTAGACCATCCCGAGATGAATTAGAATGTGCCACATCACTTGATATATAGTGGTACACAGCCGTGGTATACAGCAAAAAATAATGTGGCATGTTCTGATTCGCCTCTGGACGGCGTCCGTATCCGCACAAAATAATTTATCCAGCAAAAAAGGGGAAGTGGTTACTAATAAAGTATGAAATAATACCTCAGATGCGCATTCATCGTCATCATCATCGTAGTCTTCATTTCTTTCAGCCTCAGGATGGACAGGAGAAGCAAAGGAATATGCCGTGCCTTTGAGGATATTCTTCTCCCTTGCTCGGTTTGCGTCCACGAGAGCTTCCTCAAGCAAAGCCTTTGCATCAGCGTTTAGTTCACTAATAAACTTCAACGGAGAAGGCCAAACCAGTGGCTCTGCTGATCCTGGATTCAGCAGAGCAGCACAAGCTCCATGCCTTCTCTTCAAGGCAACAAAGTACGGTATCCTCCTGGACAATTAAGAATGTCCACATGATATTTGTTTCAAACAGAGCACCGGTTGTGCCAGAACAATAATATGAAGTAATGAAATAATGTAAAGTTCCCAAATTAAATTAGATCCATTGTATAAAAAAGAGGATTGAAGAAGAGACTAAGGTTTTGTTTGTGACGACTTTTTTACTACTTCATAAAGCAACTTTAAAGTGCAAAAATTAAAATTTTTGTATTAAAACCAAACGAAATCTCAAGGGAGTGAATTAAAGGGGGACCAAAGATCGCAACCGCTTTTATGCATGAAAAAGTAGGTGAAAATATCCCGATCAAAATTTTATTATGATAAATTTTAAAAACATAAGGGATTTAAAGCCCATTAAAACCAGGTTTTGGTCACATGATCAAATTATTCTCCTTTTTCAATTATGCGATGTAAAGAGAAAAAGCCCATTCGTGTCAGCTGTAGTTGCTTGTAAAGTTGTTGCAGAACTATTACGAGGAAATTAAATCTTTGAAAATTATTGTGAGTATTATAAATTTTCTCTTAAAAAAAAATCTAATAATAGCTTGTTTCTCATAAAAAAAATTTAAAAATAACGAAAAATTTGTAGCCAAACATTGTAAGTATCATCAACAAAATTAAACGATGAAAAAGCTGCCCCAAACGGATAAAAAATTGAAATTTCATGTGCTTAACAGACAAGCCAATGAACGCTTACCCTGATGCATCTTTTTGAAGACGATCAGCACCCCAGGACAGTAATTCACGAACACAATCCATAGATCCTCCACGAGCAGCCAAATGAAGGGGGCTACTCCCTGGGCAACTGCAGTTGCTTCTCTCTTAAGCTAGTGAATAAAAGTGAAACCTATTCCTTCAAAATTTAATGCAAATAATTGTGTAAGTGAAAGATTTTACCCATATCTGGCTGTCAAAGCACATACAAGAGCTCCATTGTTCAATAGTATACGAACACATGATCGATGCCCTTGCCTTGCTGCTAGGTGCAAAGGAGTTGCGCCGCTCCCATCGCTAACATTGACGAAACGAGCAAAACCCCTAAACACAGCAAAAAAAATAAAGAATTTAAGATGTCCATTTATTTTATAGCAAAGTTAAACTTAAACAAGACGATTCAAGCAAATTCCAAACCAATCTACCATGAATCAGCTACGGTTGTAGACTGGGCAGCAGATAGAATGGTTTGCAAGCAATCAGAATTGCCGTAGTAGGCTGCATAATGCAAGCAAGTTCTTCCATGCACCGAATCAAACTTCAAAATCTGAACACAATAGAAATGAGCCAAAAAAATCCAGATCAATCTGCATAATTTCTCAAGCCCACAATAACAAAAAGAAAAACAAATCAAAAGCAGGGAAAATATGTTGTACATTTGCTCCGGCTTCGATTAACTTCTGTACGCATTCAATTTTTCCGTGTATTGCAGCCAACATCAAAGGAGTCTTTAAAGTACAATCACCAAGAACAGTAAGACAAGGGTCAGATTAACCAAAAGCCTATTCAAGGAGCAAGAAAATAAAAATATCAGGCATTTTCACCTGCTTATGCCTGTTTAGCAGATCTGGGTTCACAGATCGACCCAGAATCAAGGAAAGCAACTGCAAGAAAGCAGGCGCAGCTCGAGTGAGAAAAAGAAGACAGAGTAACAAAAAATCTAAGTGAACGGAATCCTCAGAAGCTATTGATACCTCTAAGTGTCCATTCGAAGCCGCGATGTGGGAAGCGGAGCATCGATCATAGAAAGTGGTTCTGTTGAGAATGGCTGGGTCTATGGTCAGAGAAAACTCTACGGCTTCCAGATCTGCAAACTGTACGGCTCTCAAGAAATTGAATTCGGGGCTGTATCTGATGCAGCTCTGGCCCTGACCCATAGTTGTCTTCGCCGGCACCGTGGCCGGCTGCCACCGCTCAGGCCGGCGGCGTAGTTTAACGTTGCCTTGCTCTGCCAGTCAGATGAAGGAGAGTGCGATGATTATGAGTTTTTTTTTTTTGGAGCCATAATAAAGCAAGCAAATACTGTTTCCGTTTCTTGTCACCTTCGGTTAGCTTACCTTCGTTGGGTCAATTTCAGCTCTAGGACTTTTTTTACTTGACTTCTTCGTTAGTTTAGAGGCTTCTTTCAGATATTAGTGGGGACCTTGGTTCACCATAAAAATATAGTAAAAATGTCATTTCATATAAGAAAAAATAAAAAAGTATTAAAAAAGATATTAAAATGAATTTTAATAAAGGGAAAATTTACAGTAAAAATTTAGGGGCAGATTTGATTTGCATAAAAAAAATGGAAAATAAAAAGAAATGGTAAAACTAATATAAGATTTATAATATTAATTTGTTTTATTGAGTGTAAAATTAATATAGGTGATTATTTTTTTATTTAATTTGAATTAAAATGAATGTAATATAAAGTCCAACAATAATAATGATTGATAATTGAAGGTGGTGGAGACTTGCAATCAATAATGAGCGGTGCTCATGGAGCAATGATGGTGCCACTGATCACCGAGTAGTAATAGATAACCAAAAATGATTGGTGGCAACAAAGAATGAGCGGCGGATCGCAACCAGGGACAATAGGCAGGTAGCTACTACATTTTTAAAATTGACCAAAATCTAATAATTTCTTAATATATCAAAATTGAATTAGAGGATAAATCTCAAATGCTTCAATTTTTTTTTGGATTGTTAGGGGATTTAAATGTGAACAATCAGAAGGAATTTCTTCGTATCTACTAATGAGCTGTACGTGCGAGCTCAATGCTTCAAAAATTTACTCTGCATTTTTTTTTTCAATTTTCAATTTTTTTGCATTTAACATATTTAAAATCCCTTGTACTTGAAACCAAACATTAAAAAAACAAAATTTCAAAGGAATTGGCGGTTAGGCTTAACGCAATACTACTTTATGCTACCCTTTTTTTTCACCATCAAATTACTTTAAGCTTTTTTAGCTTGCATCAACTCAATCTTCAGTGTTTTTATTATTCTTGTTAGGTGGTGTGGTATATTTGGCAGCAAAAATTTTATATGGGTATTGCATTAATTTTAAATTACATTGGGGTGTTTTTGCTTAATTTTTTATTTGTTATGGGCAGAATATTCTTTTTATTATTTATTATAGTGTTGAGGATCATTATTTTGTTATTTGTATATTTTATGACTTTTTAAGGGAAATTTTATTTTATTTACTTTCCCCTTAACTTTATATTGGTATGCAATTTGGTTGATTAGTTATTAATATTGTGTGTTTATTATTTTTTGGGGAGTTTTTAAAATTTTTATAGGACTTTTTTTATTTAAGGTGTTATAAAATATTTATGTTATTCCTTCCACTGTTGTTTTTTCAAGGTTTATTTCGAATTTTTGTGTTTTATATTTTTTATTAAGTTTTGAACTTTTGATACGATTATTTAAATTTTGATACTCAAATAATACACAAGAACACTGTTTGTAATTTCTTAAGTTTTAGTAGTGATGGCAACACAAACTATTATTATTTTAATTTTGGTGTCATGTTGGTTGCAATATTGATGATTGATTTTTTTTTTCATCAATGTTTAACTATATATCCTATGTTCGTGCTAATTATATAATTTTTTTAAAAAGACATATTTAGTAAACACGTGAAAAAATATACAATGTTTAATATTTTGCTTCAAATATTATATATAGTGAGCATGTACATTATAGGAAAATTTTGTAAACCGTCGGACTTTTCGGCGGAAATAAATACATACGCTGGTAAAAGCGGCGAACGAACTGGCATTTTTTTTCCCCAGTACTATGACGACGGCCTTTCTGGCGGAAGAGCCGCGGGTAATTTACCGGTGGATAATCCACCGGCATATTCGTTGTTATTTATAAGAATGGCAGTTTATTCCAGTGAATTGTCCGTCGGAACTTAAAGTTGAGTATTCAACGTACGGATATTCCATTGGCCTACTTAAACTCGATGAATATTTTCCGGGGGATAGTTTGACTGTAACAGTTCCGTCAACAAATACGCTAGAAATATCCGTCGGAAAATGCCCTATTTCCCACTCCGCGTCGTCTTCCTTCTAATTTTCTTTTCTCCTCGTTTCGATTCGCTCCGCTCGCATCAGTCGCCTCAGTCGAACGCCGCCATTAAAGATATGTCATGAATTCTAACATTCTATTTGTGCGTTGAGACTTCCGATTTTATCTTCCTTCATGAGTTAGGCCTGTCATTAAGAGCTACTTCAATTGATTTTTACGAGTCCTATTTAGACGACCTATCAAAGAAATGAAATCACATTTGTAATTCATGATAGTAAACTTTATGTCATATCTTTAAATTACAAACATATACTTTGTCATCCCTTTACATTCATTTCATTATAGTGAAGTTTTATAAGATTCTCATTATTGTCAAGGATTAAATTTGTGGCTTGTTAATTCTTAGGTGTTAGGCATTAGCCTATAGCAAAAACCAAAACAATTATTAACTCCAAGGCTCAAGCCAATACATTGTGTCATATTGACTTTTAGTTTAGTTTCATATTGAATAGTTGAAAATATGAAGCCGAAATATCAAAGTTGGCACTCGCATATAAGCTTAAGCTTTTAGATTAAAATCGAATTTCGTCACTAGCAGATATGGCCAACCTTTGGTCCCTAACAGGTGGTATCGAAAGTAATGTTCGATCAAGAATGTGTACCTCTTAAAATTTGTACTTTATATGAGTTTTTAGTTGGTTCTATTATGGTTGAGCTAAATTCAATAGAGAGCGACTCCTGTGATATCTCCAGATTATCACTATTGGTGCATGATAGTTGATGGGCTTTCATCTAAGTGGGAGTTATAGTTTATGTAGAGTAATATCATAAAAAGTGTTGTGAAAGCATGATTTATTAGCAGTGATATGTTATTTAGAATTTTAACTTAAAAGGAAGAAAGCAACACAAAGAAGAAGAATTTCTTTTGCAAATTGAAGACTATGATTAGATGCGCACAATTTTTGAAGAGGCATTTCTCAATCCAACCAATAACAGAGCATCTACAAATAATTTCACGAAGAGTATTGCACTGATGATAAAGAAAGGGGAGCCTTAAAACTTGCATTAATGAATGATTGATTCCATAATTCAAAATAAAATAAAATAAAATAAAATAATCTAAAGATAAATTACAGCTTGAGTGTTAATTAAAGACAGTTTCAATTGCAATTATCAATTAGAAAAAATGAGATTGAAGATTTTTAAGGCCTATCCTATAAAGTTAAGCTTCAAAGTTTCTGAGTTTAGTCTTATGTATGCTTATTTTCATATTTTTCAAATCAATGTCAAATACATGTATTTGTTCATGTTTCATATTCATAATTGTTTTTTTGGTTACATATTTTAATTCATTGCATCATTATTATGTCAATTATGTTATATTTAAATAAAATTAGTATTTATTACATCATTCGGTTCAATTTCAGTCGAACAATCGAACCGTGAACTTCATCAGTTCATTGTCCGATACAATTGTCACAGCCTTGTATATGACAATTAATTAGCTTTTAATTTGTTCAAAAATAAAATCTACCATTCAATTAAAGTTTATTGTAAGGGCCCAATCTCTATTTTCATCACAAAACGTGTATTTACTGCAATGAAGATTGTCAAATATTAATCTTATAGTATGATGTATAATAATTTACTCAATGATTATTTAATACACTCTATTGCAAATGAAGTATTTGACTTGATTCTTATGATGTTATAATACAATATTATTAAATCATGCAAATAGGTTCATAAGCTTTTAAGAATTGCTCATTTCATCCATGATAAAATATAAGACTTTGTCCTGAATTATATATTTTTATTTTATTTTCTTAAATAATAGTTTGTACACCTTAAAATAAATAAACAATAAATAAATAAATAAAAAGCTTATTCCGCCCAAGATATTATCTATGTGGAATATTTTTTATATCATGTGATAGTTTCTAAATTTTTGAATATTTATTATTTGAATTTATTTATTTCATCATATATGCTAACTCCTAGAACGTCGGTGGTGAGAAAGTAGTCCTTTTCATGCTAAACTATTGGTCTAATATTGGGTTTCGATGCTTCATATCGGAAGTTTGCTACGTGAAATTTCGGGCTGCTTAGAAACTTGTGCGGTGGTTATCAAATATTGAAGATTTTTCCCCGAAAAAAAAAAATTAAAGATTTTATTCTTACGATTTCCAAAAAAAAAAAGGAACGCAGTTTTATTTTGCATATATATTTTAATTATTCGAGATTGGTCATAAAAAACTGATTTTAACATGCATGAATCTAACGCATTTTTAAATTAAAATTTTAAAATTAAATTTAAGATAATGTGAACTATGATTTCAACCAATTTCTAATTAAATTGAATGTATTGATGTGATAAAGTCATTGACATCAAAAGTAATACTATTAAATTCCCAATGAGATCAACTCAAATACTTAACGCATACTAACATTTTTTGGATATTGATTAGATGATCAAATGATATTCAAATCTCATATACTTATTGTTAAATCAAGTGTCACGACAAGATGAATCCAACTAGCCACATTCATTTAATTCTAACATTATTAATATTCTTAAATGTTAAAAGATAATCTATGATCAAAACAATCAATACAATCTGTCTGATGGAGTGTTCTTAATTTTGACTATATTTATAAGGCATGCTACTTAACAAAATATAATTACCTAGTGATAATTGGTGTACAAAAATGAAAAATAAAAAATAAAATAAAATAATGTTACTTTAAAAAATTTATAAATATGTTACAATTCTCTAAATGAGAGGTTTCAACTATGGGTGTCAATTTCGGATCACGGGTCAGGTTCGGGTCGAACCCGGAACTGACCCAGCACCATTCGGGTCAATCCAAACTCGATCCGTTTTTGCAAATGGGTCGATTTTTTGGACCTGACCCCGATCCGCTTCGGGTTTTGATCAACCGAACACGACCCGTTATCCACT